TTTTTGGCCCAATTTTACTAGTATCATAACATTATTCAGGTTGTCAGGCTGAACGGGGGGTTGCAATCCCCCCCCCACCCTCTAGATCCGGTACTGAGTTTACTGCGCATGCTCAGTTTAGCTTGTTACGTCACTCAGCAGACAGCAAGGTGAGTTTTATGTGACCCAAACAAGGCTATGCGCATGCGTATATCGAAATTTAACCCGCGTCTAGTCCCGGATTGTGCGCACACACAGTTTAGCGCAGGCCAACTTAGCATGCTTCGAAGCGGGCCTGGCCCACCTCCATTTGCGAGGCTAGCCTAGTCCGGACTAGCGCGTATTTAGCGCGTATCAAATTTGCAGTAAGTACGGGGTATATATGACCTCCGGCCTTATCCTGGGCCGTATAGGAGAGTGCTTCTGAAGATGATTGTGGAATGGAATAGACAAAGTTGGACTCAAACGGCAACGACATTGGAAATCACATTATTTACTTTTTAGATTAGATTAGAATAAGGACAGTTATAGAAGACAGTTCTAATAGACAGTTATAATAGACAGACAGTTCTAATAGACAGTTATATAGACAGTTACATAGAAGACAGTTATAATAGACGGTTATAGAAAGAAAAACTCGCATTTCTTTCATTGCATATATTCAAGAATAGTCGCAATAGAGATAGATGCTGTAGTTAAGGCTATTTCATATATCTGCTTACAATACTCATTCATAATTTAATAAAGCCCATTTAATTGTCTATGTATGTATGATATAAATGTCTCTATAACATATGTATTTGGTGTTTTGGGGACGAATTAGTGTCAAAACAGTATTCCAGTTCGTAGTTACAGTCTGCGCATGCGCGAACTTTGCCACGAATTCTTCCGGGTCAGGTTATTTGTGACAATATAGTTCGTATTTCGACCGCGCGCGTACGTGCGTGTGCACGTACACTTGCGTGCGTGCGTGCGTGCGTGCGTACGTGTGCACGTACACTTGCGTGCGTGCGTTCATGTGCACGTACACGTGCGTTGATTTTTATCACAAATGAAATGACCCGGTGACCTGTGACGTCACACAACCCCTTGGCTAACTACGAACTTGCTGATTGCCAAGGCACTATAATTGTAACCGAGCGTGTGTTCATTCGAGCTTGTTTGCCATCATTTGAGCTATTCAAAAATACCACCAAACTTTTTTCGAATCGCAAATTTATAAATTAATTACATGTATTAATGTATTTGAGTATACATATGGCACTAACTTTCAATATTTTGCACCGATAAGTGCACCGGTGACGAAGCTTTATAAAAATCAACGTAATATTAAATTCGAAGACTGGGGTAAGTATAGACTAGACCTGCTAATTTTTTACTTACTAATTTGCGCAGGCAGTCAGTCCAATCTATTGAGTAATACTATATATAGTTACCACGGCGATAAATCGAGTTTGACAATCTTCCCACGAGCTGACTCATGGTTCGCGGACGCACGGTTTTGATTGTTCACTAGCTGACTCGATCGTGTTTCGTGTGGAACGTGTTAAATTTAATTTTTCAATAAATTCGTGTTGCTGCTTTTGTGTACAAGATTATTTTAATGATTTTATGTGGCTGATTTGAGGCTCGTTGATTGATTGTGAAGATATCACATGGCAGAAGTTCCAGCATATATCTTGTTCACTTATAGGTAGACATTTACATGCACATATTATAAATATATGAGCTATATATTATCAGGAGTAGATAATAGGGAATTTCCTATTATCTACTCCTGATATTATATAGCAAATATAGCTCAGCGTCGTTTGCGCGCGCCGAATGCCCACCGTGCGCAGTGGCCTTTACACGTGTTTTTGTTATCTCGGCGCGTGACTGGCAATCGGCGCGACCGGTTATTCCCCCGCAACGGTTATTCCCCCGCAACGGTTATTCCCCGCAGAAAAATCGATGTTTACCCTAGGGTAGTTGAGCGAGTACGTTAGTTGAGCGAATATTGGAAAGGCGATTGAGAGTTGTGCAAAGTGCGAAGCGGTGAGTATACTGACTAGGACTTGTTTCTACTAAGCATAGTTCTATGACTATATTATGGCGTTCATTGCGTTTTTATTATTAAGTTACGGTGACATTGTACCCTTTGTACCTTGTACTTTGTACCTTGTACATTGTAAATATTCCGACACTTCCTAATGTTTCAACCGGTTACGTGCGTGAGACATCCCGTATTGGTACACGTCCGGTTGTGATAAAGTTGCCAAATTTGTTCATTGATACCCTGAAAACCAAAAGTCATTATCAAGAATAACTGTGAGTTAGTTTGTTTCTGCGATATAGACATTGTAT